ACCGCCCTGTGTACGTCTGGTGTACATGATTTCTCAACTAGACAGAAATTCTGCTGCTGTACGTGTTGAAGAAATGTGGGCTGGCTCCGTTCTTGAACCGTGGCTACCATCCACTTGTCTTCCGGGCTTATTCCTTCGGGTTTCACCGGAAATGGGGTTTGTGGATGGAGCTGTGGGTGGTGCAGTGCAAGCCAATCATGGTCCCCCTGTATGCGCTGACGTCCTGTGGCTGTCCTAAGGAAGCTGCAGTGACAAACAAATCCGGAACGGCATACCACTAACCATACTTGTCTGTATGTTATTGGCAGGTCTAGCTTTGGTCACAATGCACGGTACTCATTTATGTGAGTAGCACTGTGTACAATTTGAATTGCTTATTAATTTAATTGGGTTGCCCTTCTTAAAAATGCGTCTGGATTTTCTCTTATATCCATTAGGTGACATAGTCTGTTTTCATCGAACTCCAAATTAACGCAAACACTTTACCCATCAAAGCAGTCCGCTACGTAGCGGTGGGCATCCCAGCATATTTTTATGTGAAAACTGTGAATACTCCTTTTTCTTGTCACAACAACAACAATCAACAACAACAAGCAACAATCAGTTTATACGCCTCACTCAGGTCATACTACGAGAATACAAGGCAGTAGCTTTTTTACTCGTTATACACCGCTGCTCGTAGTTCATTATGCTTAGATATGGATAGCAGAGTATCCTGCTGAGGTTATAACTAAACTTTTGACATCTTAGACATATGTCACCTGTATATACAGTCTGAACAATTAGATTCTGTTGTCCGCATTTATATAAGAGGGTTTTGCCTTGGTAATTACTTGCGATTGCTGCAAAATTGTACAGGAACCAATCCTTTGACTCTGGATTGCACATTTTTCTGCAGTGTTTTAGCTTAAGTTCTAGAAAGCAAATTCCTACGCTCTGTGACGCGCTTTATTTATTCCAACATTAGCAAACGCACTCCGACCAATCCGAACAAATTTAATGTTGGCACCTGATAACGTAAGCATAGAGTTTACTATTCCCTATAACGTCCGTCTAGAAGAAGTACTAACCGCCTTACTGAACATTCCAGTTTGATTAGGATAATGACATCAGCTATCAGGCTAACACAACGCCGAACCCCTAATTCCGCCTTGTGCGGCACCTATATCGCAACCCATCTGTGTACAATTTCTTGCTTAATCAATACACTGGGCTCCGACGAATGACAGCGTAGAAGTACCTAAAGGTACACATATATTTAGTTTGAGATCACCGAATATAGTGCAAAATCATCTGTTAACTTCGAAACTGTGCCTCCGTTTATTGATTCCCGTTTGACCCCTTGTTCAAGACGGTTGACCTCAGTAATAATATTTTTTCGTTGGATGATTAAAATGCTAGGCTGAAAGTAGAGCGTGACGCTATCCGGCCGAGACAAAATGTCTCATGGGTCACCATCGATCTCTGGTAGCGTCTAATAACGCTCATTGTGTTCACACTTGGTACTGCGAAGAACAAACCTTGATCGGACCTGAAAAAACACGTGTGTGATGTCGCAAAAGATTTGGATATAATTATACGGGGCTCATGATTGGCAGCGAGTGGAAGTGTGAACTAGATAGTGTGATAAAACAGCTACTGTTAGATAACAGAAATAGTAAAGTGAGGCCAATACGATGTCTTGCGTCAGGTCGACAATTAGCATGGCCGGTAAAATCTCGGCCAGTTTTAAAATCAGCAGACAAGACACTAAAATAAACAAGTTTTTAAACAAACAAGTACAGTGCGTGAAAGAGCAGAGCCTGTCGCAGGCTGGGGTATAATGGTTTTCAGTTCGGGTCAGGTTCGGTGCGGAGTTGCCTACGACGAGTTCAGCCGCTGAGAATATGGATGATGAAGTGCTTGTTTTAGCCGCCAGGCTAATGGATACAGGTCGAAGGTTGTTTCGAAAAACCAACGTGGAGCACTGTTCTAGATCACTTAGTGTGTTGAGTGAGCACAGTACCACGTGAAAGGAAATCAGGCCGGTAGAACGTATTATAGTAAGAAACAAGAATATTTTCTTAGCTGTTTGTTTAAACAGGCCTAAATGTGTCAATCCCACATATTAAAATTCACTACGGCTACCCGATGTATGGCGTTTCTGCGAACAGAGGAATTATAGACTACAAAGCCACGATTTTATGAGTAACAAATATGATGCATTTTTTAATAAATGTGAACCGAGGTGTCAATTTTAATGTATAGTAACTTGGAAATAATTAATAAGCTTGCTGACTAACCGGATTTAGTGCTAAAGGGGTGATTCATCTTAATCTTGTTCTATTATATATTTTAATGTTTCCGAACGTGAAGCATTTTCTTCCTTCAGCTTTTTCCCCATAATACACTACAACTGTGTTTAACAACACTGTGACATGCCGGGCGTGACCAGTCACTAAATAAAGTCACGACCTATTGTCGAACTTACTCACTCCACAGACGATAAAAACTTTTCCTTTACTAGTACTATGCAATGTATTTCTGAACCTTATTCTGGTAGGTTTGAAAATACTGACGCCACAGCCGACGTGTGCCTGCCTTATACTATGATTGTAGGTTTTTCTCTTCCGCTTCAAGCGATAATCATTGCCTCCATTTAACTAGTATAGGACTTACACTTTTCAATCCCTTCTTTAAACATTTGTTTTCAAAATAAGCTTAACGTATCTTATTGGGTTCATTTTCAGCATTTAGACCATCACTGCGGACACCTGGATGATAATATTAATATACATACTTGGGTAGAAAAGTGGAAAAAAGCAGAACTATTACTTCAACATGCGCTCGCACAGCATGTTTGTGACTTTCGCTGGGTCAACAAGCAATCGTGAGAGATAAGACAAAAGAGTACTACGATATAATGAGGTGCGGGAGCATAAAATTCTGAATTTCGAACGAGTAGAAGAAAAATAGAGCGTTTTGGAAAGATTATTGTGAAGTGGATAAAAGCGATCAGTTAGAAGGTTAGAAGTAAAAGCATTGCAGGCACCAAGATGTCTAAATAATCAAATCAACTAAAGAATCTTTAGACAAACCACTGCATCTAGGAATGTGCTTTATAGACCGCACCAATAAGATGCAGTCTTTCTGAAGCAGTCCAAGGAAAATGACAGGAGAGCAGTATAGCAAATGTGGTCACAAACCTGAAAATTACAATATGAAGTACTGAAAGCACCTTAAGTCTGATTTTTTGAAAACTTTTACAGACGTGAGAAACAGGGACAAAATCCCTGTGATACTTAACGGTGGAAGAGTTGGGTGTGGAATTTTTATTCACGGTAAGTGTAGTGAGAAACCTATGAAGGACTGCAAGTTATCGTCACGTAGAACAGGACATATTAAATCACTGCATTTGGAAGCATTAAGCGTGAGATCTGGATGAAGACCATTCCACCAGGTCTTCCAACCCACGTTGAAGTCATGAGGAGTCCTGGTTAGTGGGGGCAATACATCCCAGCACAACACCATCAGCATATTTACACGCTATAAACTTGGTTTGTATAGGAAGATGTTCAACATAAATTAAAATAGAAAAGGTGATATGATCGCTCCCTGTAGAAGACCACAGTCTGCACGGAGGGCAGAGTATTTCTTACCGTTTAGTAAGCGCGTGTGGAATTCAAGCGTTAAGTGCATAACTTTGTACTTTGAAATATGAGGACCAACAGCTCTGTCCCCGTTAGAATTGTGACCTAGGTATCAGAAGAAATAATTTGTTATTTTATAGATCCTGAGAAGCGTTACTGAACCTTCATAATCCCATTCTGCAGAGACCTCTTGAATTTGGCGCTTATGTAGGCATTAAAACAGTTTACTGTGTGGCGCGGACTATTATGTGTAGGGTGAAAGGTTAATTGATCTGTTTGCCGCATTGCCAACTATTCATTTCTTACTGAGAGAATACTTTAGCAAATGGACCATTGAAAATTAATAATCCCTTTCCTGTCTTTTCTTTCACAAGAGAAGACAATTAAGATATGTTGTTCCTTGCCGGTTAAAAGAATCTTGTTTAGTACAAGATGTACCATATTGGAATACGAAGTAGCAATCGCTACGTTGTAGTGACTTTATCATGTTTACGTTTCGCAAAGCAGAATCTAAAGCATTGTCACGTTCGAAATAAGTTTCAAGACGAGGATGTCACTGCATCTGTAGTGAGCGACAGTGAGAGATTACAAATGGGCCGTCAGTGAGCCATCTAGGAGCCGCATGTCTCCACTAGTTATCAAAACACTATGTTTAAAGAAAGTACTCACAAAGGTCAAGAACCTTTTTATTCTGCTTTTCTTGCCCGAGATATGTTTATGTGTAACCACCGGCTCGATGAGTTTATCACAGCCGTTGTTCTTTTGCATCACCCCCATGTTTGTTCCTGACTTACCAAATAAGAATTTTGCAGCGTTTAGCAAGTCACTAAAACCTTTGGCTATTTGATATAGCATTCCAAAAACATAGTTGGTACAGATTGTGGATATTGCTGTAAGCAGATTCCGAAAAATACCTATAACCCTTACTTCATAGCTCACTATCTCTATACGTATGCCTGTTCTTGACCAGAGGAAAGTAATGAACCACTTGTGATCGCACAACACCTTACAGCTACTCGGCCACTTCATGTCTTACACACTTTTGACAGACCATAATCACACGGGTGAATAATTAGTCCTTGGGTTTAATTGCTGATAACTTCGTTCATGATTTAAAGGAAAGTAATTTCGCTTTTAATCATCTGTACTCTCCATAGCTGTTATTCCAACTGAGAAGCTTGCATTTGTGTTTCGGATGAATGTTCACGAAACCCTGAGTGCATAACTCACACACGTATATATCGTCAAATTATCTTCATGACAACCTCAAATGTTTTGTAGCCGAGAACCTTAGTGCGTTTGTAACTGACCGTACAAGTGACCCAAGGCACACAAAATGCCCTAGTATTCATCCAGTGATAAATCACCTACCTCCATCTGCATATGTCTCCACACCGAAGCTTGGAAAACCATTTTCGAATTCCCCCTCGAATCGTCCGATGGAATTCTCTTTACACTTGATACCAATGGATATGAAATCTTCGGAAAACTTGCCCTTTATCACCCAGTCCTCTCGGGTAAACACTCCGTGGCCGTTGCGCCGATTGTTTGCCCACTCGCCCTCGTACATAGCTCCTGGGGCATTCGGCCACAAAAACACGCCACTCTTCTCCATTCCTGCATCCCAAAGCCCCGTATATTCCCCTTGGCACTTGTCCTTGGTGATCAAGCCCAGTCCGACAGCTTTTTCATTCAACCATTCACCGATGTAAATTCCAGAGTCTTTAAACTCGTACCTCCCGGCTGGCAAACAGGCCGCCTCCGGACGGAAGAGATCTTCAGTCATCATGACACAGGATGCCAAATGGCATTTGTGAGCTTGAAGAGGAACGGTAACTACAGTCCATCTCTTTGGAACGAAATTGTGATGGCTGCTGGAGTGATGGAAGCAAAAACTATCAGGAAGGGCGTATTCCGGATCCCTTCACGTTGGAAAAACCGAAGAGGCAAAAATCCCACTTCGATTGCAAGCGCGATAGCTGTATTTCCGAAATTGCACACTGGCGCACAAATACTGCTTATAGTAATCCCATTGGCCGGTCAACCTTTCGCGGGCGCACAGTATCGATTGATGGGATAAATCAGGGTTGGCACAACTGCAAGACAAACTGATTGGACAGGAATAATTCACCTCGCATGACTCGAGGTATGTGGCCGTCTGTTTGTAGTGCTGTCTTTCAGCGCAAAAACCAATAGTAGATAAAATATTTTTTGTCTACGTGGGTCGTCTTAGCCTGTCGCGATGGTATGCGGCTGTCTCTAACAACAATGCTTCCTGAATGCCTGCACTTTTCTGTCTAAAATGACAGCGCATCGGATGGGACGTAGATAACCTCACTGGAGCAATCCATTAGCCGTAAATTGCCTGAAGTTCCAATCTAAGGGCAAAATTTTCATACCCAACTGAGTTGTACGACCTCGGACGGTTAGGGAGTTCACCAGCATCCGATGGGACCATCTAAAATGAAATCGGTCATCTACTAATGTTATTTGATAAATCCTAAAAGGTTAGTTCCCTTTATTCACTTGAATAACACAGAAAGAAGACGAACATTGGTAGATGCGCGCATTTCTTATCATCTCGTCAGTACCATTAGGATAAAAGGAAATAATTACTGTAATCAAAGGGTGTCACCAGACTAATGAAAATACTAATCAAAGAGTCAGTTACGTAGGCAGAACCGAGCGGGTTTTGAAGTCCAGATTGAAGGAACACCTGCCCAACTGGATTCAACGGGAGGTCAACAAACCCACCTCTAGTGCTCCGAGCTCACGTAAGCCACCAGCGTCATCAATAGGCAGACACATTTGGGAGTCCAATAAACTGGTTAACCGTGTCTCGACGTTCTGGATTCTACAGCGTCATCCTAGTTCGCGGTTCTTACGATTCGCCAAAGCCATGGCGATAAACCGAATGAGACCGACCCTATGTGTGCAAAAACAAATGGTTGTAACACTTCGGCTGCCGCGGTCTAAGGGCTATAGCCGCGGTTTACCCTGGTGCACGTGACTGGTTAGGTGACACCCTTTGCTTATTATTTTGATTATTCTGTTGACACCCTTTGATTACAATAATGGTACTGCCGAGATGTTACGAAATGCGCGCATCAACCCATGTTCGTTTTCTTTCTGTGTTATTCAACTCCAAAATGAGCAGGTCAGCTTTTGCATTGCCAGAAATAAGTTATGCTATTGCTCATGCCGTACCTTGAAATGAGGACAGGTCTTCGCATTTCGTGACCTAGCTAAGAGATCCGGAAGTGATTAAAAGCGGAATAATGCATAAAAGAGCCGACATCGATCGTTTGTGCTAATGCTGGTTACTCAACGTGTGTCATATTAGGTTAGGGCAACCTTAAGTGTTTTCTTTAAAAGCTTTGGGCGGGATAATTCTAATTTGGGAGAGCGTGCCACGGCTAGTAGACGAGAAGTGAGTAAAAGTTTCGCCGACCTAGCCGACTGTATTGCGTATCCAACTTGAAGTAGTAACTCCGCAAATTCGAGTTGTGATTGGGATGCAGTAAGTGAAAACAGAGGTGCTTGGGATTTCTCAAAACCTGTTAGCCAATTATTAGGTCGCCACATAGACGCCGATACTGACCACTACACAATCTTAGAGCAATCAGCTTAAGTTAAGATGGAAGATGATACAACCCTTTGACGTGCTTGGTGGTTAATCGCAGTGGAGTCTCGAGATCTGCGTGATCATACTTGTGCCAGAGCTGCCAGACCTGTATTGCGTATTCCACATGAGACCGCAAGCAAGCGTTAAGCAACTGCGGGCACACAGATGAGTCGCACCGCCCGAATGCCCTCTGCAGCACGACAACGTGTTTGTTTCCAGATTTTGACGCGTTCTATGATTGTTCTGAGCAGCCTAGATTGGTGTGGGTTAGTGCCGTTAAGGTCGCGCTCCTGGGTTCCTGCTTGCATTTTCTGCTCTCCAATCTTGTGTAGGATGTCCATCCGGCGACGGATGTGGACCACCTTATACGTAGACAAAGTAAACTAGAGCAGATTGTGGAATGACCTTTAGAAGACACTGTTCAGATCTAGTTGAAAGTTACCGTGATTTCCTTGGTTGGTGACTGTCTGCCGCATCTCAACATTATCAGTGAAAAGCAAGGAATCCGAAGCAGTCGGACACATAAACTCATCAGTAGACACGAGAAACAGAAGCGGCTTCAGAAATCATCCCTGTTGAACTCCACATTCTGCATGAATCGGATCACACAGCGCACTTCGAACTCTAAAATACAGCTGCCGGTTTTACGGGAAGTTTCTGATCCCCAACTCCGTAGTTTTCAAGCCTGTGAAACAACATGCGGTAGTCCAGGCGGTTGAAGGCTTTGAAGAAGTCGAGATAAATGACTTCGGTCCCCTTACCTTTGTCGGCCGCTTCCGTTCAACTATTGTTGGCAGTCAGTACTTTGGTTGTGTATGAACGATGTTGACGGAAACCATGCTACTCGGGCGCTAAGAAGTTGTATCTTTCTAGCTGGTCAACTGGAGCCTCATCGATGATTGCCTTAATTACCTTTGAAAGTAATTGGGGGAGGACCACTGTGCAATAGTTTTTGTGTTCCGAGCAACTGCCACTATTGAAAATGGGCGTGAATGGGCTATATTCCCACACGGTAGACAACATTTGTTTATCCAAGTACGTTGAGAAGAGATGGGGTAATGACTCAGTCAACTTGGCCGCCATTACTTTATGCCTCTTCTAGTGAGTGTTTTAAATTTTGCAGGAACTGTAGATGCGCAGTGAGAGCAGTTTCTTTAACACATATGAGGCATTTAATGCGATGTTAGTAAGTGTTGACATTGGGCCTATGGATATGCGTTTGTGGTGAGGGGAATTAATTGTACAGTGGAGTACTTGCCATAAGACTTTGCAGTTCAGCTTTGGATGTTTTGCTTGGGGATACTAATGCATTCTAGTCGTGCACGTTGCAATCGCCTGAGCTACAAACGTGGCTACAACTTTGCATTAGGCTTGTTGTTAATCCCGATCTTAGATGGGATTCCATCACTGGATTGGACGGTGTGGGGGGTTGCTAAGCGATTGCCACGGAGCACATGTCGTTGCATCTGAGACGCAAACCACGTATAGCGAATCGGTAACCCGCATTTCTGGATCATCCAATGGTTCGCATTGAAAGGTGTTGCGATAGTATACGCTTGCTCCATCTCCCCTGCTGGGACGATGGTTTCGAAACAGTGACATTTCCTGAATCGTGATCTCGACATCCATAACATTTGCGTGCAACCAATTCCCGATTATGGAGATGAGGTCTCAAGCGTTTGTTGCCTGACGCATCCGAAGCTGGGCACTTGTGTTAAGGAGGCCTTGAGCAATGGTATACATGCAGGAAAGTGATTACGTTCGCAGCAGCGAACTAAATGACATTTGGTTCGGATGAGCGATTGTGTTGATCGTTGTACGGTCGGCCGCTGGCCGATTTTGTGGTATTCTCGGTACGTCTTTTGCAGTTTGGTTTAGTGGCATCGTATTTAACCCCTCTGGCGGCACATTTTGCAAAATGCATGGTGAGTGGTTACCGGATTGCATAGGAAGATCCTTACTTCTTTCAGCTCTGCTATCAGTGTGAAATTCGAAATGGATCCGCATTTCCATAGTCTGCTGAGGTGACGCTTCAAGTCAGATGACGATCTACCTCGTTTCTCCACCTAACCCGGTGGCTTAGGGGTAGATGTCCTAATCGAGATCCCAGTGATCCCGGGCTCGAGGTTTGTTATCGCTACACCAACAGATCAAAGCAGTGGGAAACGCGTCTTCTGGTGCAGTGTTTTGGGCGGGCAACATCCAATACCTACTTTATAGTTCGGTTTTTCTCTGGGCATACCCGTTCGTATGAATAATGTTCTTGAGGCATTTCCTGGTAGCGATCATCTGGTGGTCAGATGCTGCCTAAGACTACGCACGGACGATATACAACACCCAATACATGATCGTTAGTTCAGTTTTGTCAAAAGGAACTAGTTCAAGGACTTGGTTCATTCGATGAATTGGACAACTTCTTTCTCTCTTCATGTCCTCAAGAAGTAGCAGCTATGTTTGATAGTTTAATGGACTTCTGCATCGATTCAGCAGTGCCGTTAAAATGTGCCCAACTGGCTAAACTAAACCCGATCGCAAAGTGCTATCTATTAAGGACGACATGCAATCGTCACAAGGCTTGGCGGAAGTTCAGGCTAACTACAAACATCGCGCAATTACTCCAGTAGTTAAGATCATCGAATTACTGTGACATCAGAATGACAACCCACATTCTAGTAGTGTGAATCTTTGAAAGGCCGTTGCAAAATTACTGAACTGTTGTGGTGTTTGCAAATATTGCACTACTTGCTACTTCGTATACCGTATAACCTGCGGTGGTGAATAATATTGACCGCATAATTCGGAATTACAACTAGGTTGATTTCCCTCTATTTCAAGACCAGCTTCGAATAAGGCTTTGCGTTACACTAGATTTTATAAGAACTTGAAAAGCACAATTAGAAGACGAAGCTCGGCAAATGCATGCATTTCGTATCGTCTCATCAGTGCCGATAACGATAACCGGTAATTTTATATAAGAGTTTGTGGGTACAGACATACATACAAAAGAAGGAGAGAAGAAAAGGGTGTCTTTGTTCTACAACCAGGGCAGCCTGAGGCTGACCGATAATTGTTTTTGAACACAAAGCTCTGGCTTAATCCGATTAATGGCAATCGCTTCGGCAAACCGGAGGAGCCGGGAATTAGTATGGCGAAGCAGGATTCGAAACGCCTTGTTGACCTCAATTCGGTGACCCGATGTCAATAAGTGCCTGCCGATCGAAGATGCTGGCGGCCTACGTACACATGTAGTCTGAGTTGGGCTTGCTTGCTGAATAAGTCCGCACTGAACCCATTTTGATACATGCTCCTTAATTCGGGAACTCAGTGTTCTATTGGTTCTGCCTATGTAACTATCCCCGC